GAGACCCTGTCTTTCCAAAAAGTTTTTTAAAAATTACCTGGATGTGGTGATGTGCGCTTGTGGCTCCAGCTACTCCAGAGGCTGAAGGGGGAGGATCGATTGAGCCCAGGAATTAGAGGATTCAATGAGCTGTTATCACGACACTGCACTCTAGCCCAGGCAACAGAGTGAGACCCTGTCTCTTAAAAAAAAAAAAAAAAATTGACGGGGTCCAGTGGCTCATGCCTGTAATCCCAGCACTTTGGGAGGCTGAGGCAGGCGGATCACAAGGTCCCCTTTTAGTAGGACGGGGTTTCACCATCCTAGCCCACATGGTAAAACCCCGTCTCTATTAAAAATACAAAATTTAGCTGGGTGTGGTGGCATGTGCCTGTAATCCCAGCTACTCAGGAGGCTGGGGCAGAAGAATAGTTTGAACCCAGGAGGCAGAGGTTGCAGTGAGCTGAGATCACACCACTGCACTCCAGCCTGGCAACAGAGCGAGACTCCTTCTCAAAAAAAAAAAAAAAAAAAATATATATATATATATATATATACACACACACACACACACACACACACAATATATGTATGTATACAGACACTGCCTTTCTGTTAGGTATTTGTCATTTGCCAAAACTAAATAAAAACAACCTGTGAGGTCAGTACTAAAATCTATACCAATTTACTCCCCCATCCTCCTCCTCATTCGTTGAGTGTTTAATAAAGCCAGCCGCTTTATCATTAAATTCTAAACCCAGCAGAAAGGTAGTATTTTAAATGCAGTCTTTGCCAGACACGGTGGCTCATGCCTGTAATCTCAGAACTTTGGGAGGCCGAGGTGGGTGGATCACTTGAGGTCAGGAGTTTGAGACCAGCCTGGCCAACATGGTGAAACCCCATCTCTACCAAAAAGACAAACATTAGCCGGGTGTGGTGGCGCACGCCTGCAGTCTCAGCTACTCAGGAGGCTGAGGCAGAAGGTTGCAGTGAGCCAAGATCACGCCGCTGCACAACTGCCTGGACGACAGATCGAGACTCTGTCTCAAATACATAAACAGATAAATAAATAAATGCCGTCTTTAAGGGACACTTAAAGAGTAATGGAGGGGAAGGAGCCCTGGGGTCACGGGCATAAGTTCTTCTCTGAATCTGTGTCCTTCTCTATCGGTGACAAAGTTGGATAATGAATGAGGCATAATTTTTTAAATCACTAAGCCTGCTATCTGAGCATCAATAAGGAGTTGGTATCCTTTTTGGGCCAAGTGGGCTGATGTAAACAGTATTACACAGGTTAACCCGGATACCTTTTTCTTTGAAAAAGGTTTCCCTTTGAAAATGGGGATTTGGGGAGGGCAGAGGAAAGGAGAAGGATGAACAATTAAGTGCCTAACTACACAGACCAGGGCGGCCTGCAGCCTCCCACATGCAGCTTTCCAGATCCAGGTGATGATCCTCATCATGCTGACACCAACAGGAAGGAATGGTGGATGTATCTTCTTTCTACTTCACCTCCCCACGCATCCTGTTTCCCAGGTTTGGAGGTCTGAGCCGGCCTTGTGCAAAAGCTCCTGTGCGAAGTCAAGTCCTGACTCCAGATCCTCTGTTCCTAGGGCGGCCGCAGCAGTGGGCTGCTTTGATGGAGGGTTAGCCTTTTCTCCAAAGCCCCGCAAGCCTGCCAGTGAACCAAGGCTACTGATGGGTCTACACTGAAGTCTCGCTGAGGACTCAGCCTGACCAGACTCATTAGATGGGATGGACCTTGGTTCATACACAGGCCACTTGCTCTGCACAAGCACCCCACCTTTTTTTTGAGACGGAGGAGTCTTGCTCTGTCACCAGGCTGGAGTGCAGTGGCAAGATCTTGGCTCACTGCAACCTCCACTTCCCGGGTTCAAATGATTCTCCTGCCTCAGCTTCCTGAGTAGCTGGGACTACAGGCGCATGCCACCACGCTCAGCTGTTTTTTGTGTTTTTAGTAGAGACGGGGTTTCACCATGTTGGCCAGGATGGTCTGGATCTCCTGACCTCATGATCCACCCACCTCGGCCTCCCAAAGTGCTGGGATTACAGGCGTGAGCCACAGTGCCCCGCCCTGCTACCCCACTTTCTGAAGCGAGACGAATTGGCAGTAAGTGAGTGATACCCTGTTCCCATCTAGAAACAACCAGCTACCCCACAGCCCCAAGGTCAGGGATGCTCAAGTGCTATTTATTCTGTTTCCCAGACATACAGCAGCTGGGCAGGGAGTCCGAGTAGGCTGTTGCGTCATGTGGTTCCATTCCAGATTTTTCCCTTTATTCCTCTCTCCAAGGCCCCATTGTGCAGATGCTAGTAATTCTCATGAAATGATACCAGGAGGTAAAGAAAGTTCCCTGGCTCCTCAGATATCCATCTGTGTGCAAGCAGACAGAGCACAGAAAAATCAGTCAAAGAATAACAAGGTTCCTAGTTCTGTGTGGGCTGAGCAAGAACAACAACAAAAAAAGAGTAACAAGGAGTGAAAAGTACTAAGAAGAAAAACAGCTGCACAGGAAAAGGGCAGTGAGTGTCACGGGTGCCTCCCACTGTCCTTTTGCCGAGGGCCTGTGGGTGAGGACAAGTGGGGAGATTGGGAGCCATCAGGTGCATGACCCAAGGGACTAGCTGATGTCAGAGTCCAGTAGATTAGGATTTGGCCCGCTGGATCCCTGTCAAACACTGGCCAATCATAACTGCACTTAGCCAACCCCAAACACGAGGGGGCCCTGGTGACAAGACATGACACTGCACCATCAGAGGTCACAGCAAGTGGCTTTGCTGAGGTGTCCACTTTACTCCTGCCCCAATGACCTCCCTTTCCTGATTGTTAGTCCCTTTCTTTCTCCAGGAAGTCCCTTCTCATCCCTGTTCATACCTTCATGTAACAAGCATTTATCATGCTAGTACTGTGAGCCACGCTTGTGCTGTGGTTACATCTGTGGATCAGACAGACAACAGTGCCTGACCTTGTCATTCTTCCATCCCTTAATTCCTTCCTTTCTCTCAGTCTGGCCAGGAAAAAAAAGGGTCTCCTAACAGAGAATATAGGAACATACTGCTGAAGAGTGACAGCCGACAAGAAATGAAAGCTGAATGATGAAAGATTAAAAAGAAAATTGTCAGGCCGAGCTCGGTGGCTCAAGCCTGTAATCCTAGCACTTTGGGAGGCCAAGGCGGGAGGATCATGAGGTCAGGAGTTCAAGACCAGCCTGGCCAAATAGTGAAACCCCATCTCTACTAAAAATACAAAAACTAGCCAGGTGTGGTGGCGGGTGTCTGTAATCCCAGCTACTCAAGAGTCTGAGAGGCAGGAGAATCGCTTGAGCCCAGGAGGCAGAGGTTGCAGTGAGCCGAGATTGCACCACTGCACTCCAGCCTGGGTGACAGAGCAAGACTTGGTCTCAACAAAAAAAAAAAGAAAGAAAGAAAAATGTCCTTCCCTGCTCCTGGCACCGGTCCGCCCGCCCTAGCCTGCTGGGCATGCTGTCTCTCAACAAGACCCGGTCTGCCCCAACCTGAGGTGCTGCTAGACCAGCTGCCCAAACAGGAAACCTTATATAATTCTGTAACCCTGACCTTGGGCCCTGAATCTTCCCTTTCTGTAAACAGTCCATTCAACCCAGGAAGACCTGCAGACCTGGCTGGGACACATTTTGAAAAACACACACATTGTTTAAAATGTTGAAAAAAAGTCCCTAGGTCTAAGAGGAAGTGATCTGTCTGACTCAACAGTAGAAATCACTTCATATAAAGTAATGGAACAAATGGAAATTTAATCCTAACAGATGTAACTGCCAGGGCAGTCACTTGTGTACATGGATGACTTGATTGCACCTGTTGGAAAAGCAGAGAAAAATGAGCCGTGAAATCTTGATCACATACCCTACTGGAAGCAACACCCCGTCCTTGCAAATTAGTAAGCCTGACGCTCTCAACTTCCTGGCTTCAACACGTGTGCCCTAGTTCTGTGCAGGTTATGACTCACCTGAGCTACTGGTCAAATGATTCTTACTCAGAGCCTTCGGTCTTTCATCTTCAGTGTTAAGTGGTCTAGGCACCTACTAGCCAAATGTCTACTTACTTTTTTTCTTTCTCATGCCTGTTTCCCAGTCTGTGATCTTTCAAGATATTTCCTTGAGGCCAGGCATGGTGGGTCAGGTCTGTAATCCCAGCACTTTGGGAGGCCAACGCGGGCGGATCACCTGAGGTCAGGAGTTCGAGACCAGCCTGCAAACGTGGAGAAACTCTGTCTCTACTAAAAATACAAAATTAGCTGGGCGTGGTGGCGCATGCCTGTAAGCCCAGCTACTCGAGAGGCTGAGGCAGGAGAAATGCTTGAACCTGGGAGGAGAGGTTGTGGTGAGCCGAGATCGCACCACTGCACTCCAGCTTGGGCAACAAGAGCAAAACTCTGTCTCAAAAAAAAAAAAAAAAAAGACATTCCCTTGAAATGACTGATTTTAGGCAACAACTGGAATTACAGATGGTAGCCTTCAACTTCTTATTTAACTTATTGCCAAACTTCAATAAAAGTCCAGATTAGAAGTTTTAGACCTCAGCCTCTGGCCCTGGGCCTTCTGAAATGATCTTCCAAACACCATTTGATTTCCGCTAATTTAGTTAATGAATGGAACTTTCTGAAGGGAGCAGTTACTTTGATCTGAACCCCCTTCCTAGGTTCCAGTTCACATAGCCAGAGGGAGACAGAACAGATGCCCTCTCCTCCTGCCCCTCCCCTCCTGCGTGGCCAGAGCAACCAGCTGCAATCATTCCTCTAAAACAGAGACAGCCGCAGAAAGCAATTCCCAACAGGAAGAAGGCAGGTTACAAATACTACTGTTGGCATTTTCATGGGTGTTTCCCCCACACAGAGATAAAAGCGTTGAGGTGAGGCTTTGAGGCACACTCTCTGGGTTGCTGGGCCTGCAGTCTGGAAATCCCAAGTAATCCTCGAAATAGGCTAACTGGAAGCCAGCAAGACAAATTAGAAGTGCTTCTGGCCTGAGAGAAAGGTGTCTGCATTCAAAGGACAACTTCAGATAAAAATGGAAAATGCCAGTCCCACCCTGCAGGAATCCTCAGTTTCCGGGCTGTTTATCCTCACTGCCTCAGTCCTACTCTTGTGGGTGACTGGGATGTGATGAAAGAGATCGCGTGGAAAAGGCTACTGCAGTTCTTGCTCTGTGTAACTCACCACCTTAAAAAACATGGCCTTAGCTGCTGCTTTAAAACAACGGCCGGGCCGCGGTGCCTCACGCCTGTAATCCTAGCACTTTGGGAGGCCTAGGTGGGTGGATCACCTGAGGTCAGGAGTTCAAGACCAGCCTGGCCATCATGGTGAAACCCCCATCTTTAAAAACAACAACAACAACGAGGCCGGGCGCGGTGGCTCACGCCTGTGATCCCAGCACTTTGGGAGGCCGCAGCGGGTGGATCATGAAGTCAGCAGATCGAGACCAGCTTGGCTAACATGGTGAAACCCTGTCTCTACTAAATATACAAAAAATTAGCCGGGCGTGGTGGCACAAGCCTGTAGTCCCAGCTACTCGGGAGGCTGAGGCAGGAGAACCGCTTGAACCCGGGAGGTGGAGGTTGCAGTGAGCCGAGATCGCGCCACTGCACTCCAGCCCGCCGACAGGGCGAGACACGCAAAAAAAAACCAAAACGAAAATCCCGAGCCCCAACCCAGAGATTTAACCCTGCAGCTAAGGGGAAGTTTTTGTTAAGGAGATAAGGTGAAAAACCAAGCCATTATGGGGCATGACTTCCACTGTTAAGCTTTCGGAAGACAAGTCCCGCAAAGACCTCCAACCCCTTCCAGCGCGCGACTTACCCTCTTAGCTGAGCCGCAGCTTGCAAAATACGGAAGTGATGTCCAGGTTTGGCCACAAGGGGACACTCGAGAGTAGGACTGCCCGCGGCAATGCTTTGTTTCTCCACTGACTTTTGGTTGGGAGGGAGGGAGGGAGGTGTGGGAGTGGTGGGGAAGATGCTGGCTTAAAAGAAAAAAGTCCATTTGTTCCCTGAAATTGTGCCACTTGCCCTTTTATAAGTTAAAGGTTGCCACGTTACCTGTTGCCAGGTTCCTGAGAGTGCTTGGGGAAAATGTGGGCGAGAGAGGCACAGCACAGTCCTTCGGCTTGGTAGGTTTCAAGCTCTTTAGACTGAGCTGGCGCTGACATTTGCAGGGCAGCCGCTGTGGATTGCCTGCGCATTGTTTGGTTGTAGTTCTAACAGAGGAGTGGCTGCTGTCTGACATCATTTCCAGGCATCAAGTGCCTGGGGCTTTTTTTTTTTTTTTTCTGTAATGACTCTAACTTTCTGATCCCTCCCTGCCTGGATTTTTATACAGTAGATGCACTGTGCAAAACAGCCTCCACTCAGGAAACCCAAGTTTTGAAGCAACGTCTTAAAACAACTTGGGTGCCTCTTTAAAAAAATAAAGTTGTGACTTTGAAACAAACCTTTCCTTTCTTCCTCCTTTCTGAGAACAATGTCGGGTTTGATCAGCAGCGCAGCCAGCGCTTTCTGAAAGATCTGCTCTTCCCAGAAGAGGCGGCTGCTATCAGTTGAATAGATCTCTAAGCCAGACATGCCGAGGCTTGGGGCATTTGTCTGGCATTAGGAAGTGTCTGGAATACCAGAAACTACCAACTGGCATGTCTTAGGACTACAGGAATTATTCACTCCCCTCCATCCCTCGTCCACTCCCCCTCCCCTCCCCATACACACACAAGCATACTTTTTTTTTACTTTAAGAAAAGTTGAGCGCGTCATCTTTGTGGTTTCCGTGGAGGATGTAACTGGGAGAGAAGACTGGAATGCCCCGTGCCTCCGAGGGTGGGGCGAGGATCCTGGCGTATGCCCCACCCCAACAGCCTCTGATCTCTGCCTTCTCCTCGCTGACCGCCACACTTTGGGTGGCCTGGAAATGTGAAGCTGTAAATATTTTGAAATAAGGTAGTGATTTTTCCACATGCACTTCGTTTTGTGGCATTTCTCTCCTTCTTCAATGTTTTAAAAGTTGCAGTGGTGCACCCCTTGTTGACCACTCCAAATTCATTCATTCACTGAACCTCTGGTGAGTTCTTGCAGAGTAAGGAGGGCCGTGCATGAAGGAGTCTCTGGTGGAAAGCATGGCGCATTAGTGGAGGAGGTGTTTAACAGAAAGTGTTTGCTGGCGTGGGGGGGGGCGGTAAATAAAGGTGGTTTGGGTTAATGGTCAGATGGGATTTGGAGCCCTGAGTACTCTTAACTCTGTTGCTGAATCTCTAGATGGGTTAGGGATGTCCGTTGCCTGCTCTGAGCGTTACATTTTCATCAGTCAAGTGGGGATAGTGGGATCTTTCTCATATGTGAGATCATGTCTATTTTTTAATTTTTTTTTATATTTATTTTTACTCCCAAGCTCAAGTGATCCTCCCACCTCAGCCTACAGAGTAGCTGGGACTTCAGGTGGGCACCACCATGACCAGCTAGTTTATTGTTCTTGTTTAGGGTTTTGTTTTTGGGTTTTGTTTTGTTTTGTTTTTGAGACAGAGTTTCACTCTTGCTGCTCAGGCTGGAGTGCAATAGCGCGATCTTGACTCTCCACAACCATCACCCCCCAGGTTCAAGGGATTTTCCTGCTTCAGCCTCCCAAGTAGCTGTGATTACAGGCATGCGTCACCATGCCAGGCTAATTTTGTATTTTTAGTAGAGATGGGGACGGGGTTTTTCAGGTTGGTCAGGCTGGTCTCGAACTCCTGACCTCAGGTGATCTGCCTGCTTCAGCCTCCCAAAGTGCTGGGATTACAACTGTGAGCCACCACTCCCACCACTGTTTGAATTTCTTTGAGACAAGGTCTCACTCTGTTGCCCAGGCTGGTATTGAACTCCTAGGCTAAAGTGATCCTCATGCCTCAGCCTCCCAAAGTGCTGGCATTACAGGTATGAGCCACCACACCCAGCCCCCATGTCCATTAAGTTCTTAGCACAAAGTAAGGATTTGCTGTCTGGCGATTAGGAAGATCTAATGGCATGTCACAGGTGTGGACTAAGTCTCATCTCATCATCTTTGTTGTTGCCCGGGTTTGTGCTTTTTTCCCAGTGAAGAACTCCAGCCAGACTGCTGATTTGTCTGGCATTTGTTGGAGAGCCCGGCTTGCATAACACATCACCACCAGGAGCAGGAGCCCCACGATGCACTGTTAAGTGCACCACTCTGGGGTCTACCCGGCTGGAAGCAGCAGCAGTAGACTTGTCTATTAGTCATTTTGTCCTCATCAGTGCCAGATGCTTTCCCAAGATGCCAGAACATTCACCATTGCTACCAGACAGCCTCGCTGGACCTCTTTCTCTGGCCTCCTTTTTTGGCTTCTTTCTTCAGCTGTTTAGCATCACTCTCTGTGGGACACCCCCCCCCAACTTTGCAAATTCTTTTCTAGGTTTCACTTGTTAGCATAAGCCATAAAAGCTCCAGTTTGAAAGAAATTTTGTCATCTAGTCCAGCCCCCATCAGCTGCTGGTACAATTGCTGTACCTTCCCAGCCAAAAGATGCACTGGCCTCTGCTTGAACAGGTTCAGGGACTGAGAACTCCCTCTGCTATGAGGTCCTCATATTCCATCTATGGACAATTAATGACTGGAGAATTATTATTTTTTTTTTTCTTTTTGAGACGGAGTCTTGCTCTGTCACCCAGGCTGGAGTGCAGTGGCTCGATGTTGGCTCACTGCAAACTCCACCTCCTGGGTTCAAGAACTTCTCCTCCCTCAGCCTACTGAGTAGCTGGGACTACAGGCCCGTGCCACCATGCTCAGATAATTTTTTTTGTATTTTTAATATTTTAGTGATGGGGTTTCAGTGTGTTGGTCAGGCTGACCTTTTGAGTTGCCTGCCTTGGTCTCCCAAAGTGCTGGGATTACAGGTGTGAGCCACCACGCCCGACAGAATTATTCTTGATGCCTCTCTGAGCTCTTACCTTTGTTGTTCCTTTGGGGACTTATACAAATACAAATGCCATCCTCTAAGCAAGAGCCCTCCAAATAATTGAAAACCCCTCTTTCTT